AAAAAGTTTACACCCTGAATCGGTCGTACTATATTTGACATTATCTACACATCAAATATTGACTGTGTAAATTTACATGCATATAAATTAATATGAGTAAATAAAAACAAGATTGTGCGGATTTATTAAGAAGTTGGAAGCGCCTTTGATGTTTACGGAATAGTAGTCGCACAATTACAGATTTAAATTCATGTAGACTGGATCATTTAAAGACGACAAAAGGATGTACAATTTATCCGTTTTAGTGATTGTTTATTTTTTTGTGTGTGTACTTAACTTACGACATTAATATCAAAGATTTCTTTAATTCTATTAACAATTTTTAAGAGTAAAACTGAAAATTTTATATTGGCGCTAATTATTGCACTTGGTTTCCCATTTTTTACTCGATTATGTCAAGTATTCTGGATAACACAATCGAGTAGCCTACAACAATTAAGCAGTCCCAGTGATGTGTATATACAACTGAAATTCAGGACATATAATCAACATTCCTTTCAAGTTTCTTAAATATTGCAAACCTAAACTATTTCATAGATTTTAATCTGTCACTTACCTGATTATCATTCTGTATACCATCATAACACAATAATCAACCGGAAAAGCGGCGATGCATGTATAGAATAGAGACACGGTTAGAAGTAATTGTTGGAATAAAATTTTGTCGGATCTTAAATTTGTGGATTGACCTAACCACGAAAATTCTTGCCCAAGAATAATAATGATTTTACAGTATTATTTTATTCAACATGTTCAATAAATTCAGTATTAAACTTACACTCATTCAATATCCTCTATATCTGAAGACAGATAAAGAAACAAAAATGTAAATACATGTAATTGTAATAGAGCATGTAAAACAATATTTTATTATTTTTAGAGTAGATATAGATTATAGCGATAGTTTTAATGATAAATTGGCATTAAGTACATAAGATTTGAAACAAAGTTGAATGTATTTTACAAATTTCTTAGCGCGACTATTTGAAGACTCAGAACTATGTCATTTACATTAATTTGGCATCACCAAGTCAAAAATTGCTGTGTATATTTGAAAGTGCTTCTACTAGTTTTAATCCATGATATATTAATCAGTATTTCTATAGGTGTTGTTTTTAGCTCGACTATTCGCAGAATAATCGAGCTAATGCAGTCACCCATTTGTCGGCGTCGGCGTCGGCGTCCCTGTGGTTAAGTTTTTGTATGTAAGCTGGTATCTCCATAACTACTGAAGGGAATGGATTGAAACTTCACACACTTGTTCTCTGTGATTATCTAAGATGATTGGCACAAGTCCCATAACTCTGATTTGCTTTTTTTCATAATTATGCCCCTTTTTCGACTTAGAAATTCTTGGTTAAGTTTTTGTATGTAAGCTGGTATCTCCATAACTACTGAAGGGAATGGATTGAAACTTCACACACTTGTTCTCTGTGATTATCTAAGATGATTGCACAAGTCCCATAACTCTGATTTGCTTTTTTACATAATTATGCCCCTTTTTCGACTTAGAAATTCTTGGTTAAGTTTTTTGTATGTAAGCTGGTATCTCCATAACTACTGAAGGGAATGGATTGAAACTTTCACACACTTGTTCTCTGTGATTATCTAAGATGATTGGCACAAGTCCGCATAAACTCTGATTTGCTTTTTTACATAATTATGCCCCTTTTTTGTCTTAGAAATTCTTGGTTAAGTTTTTGTATGTAAGCTGGTATCTCCATAACTTACTGAAGGGAATGGATTGAAACTTCACACACTTGTTCTCTGTGATTATCTAAGATGATTGGCACACAGTCCCATAACTGGCTGATTTGCTTTTTTACATAATTATGCCCCTTTTTCGACTTAGAAATTCTTGGTTAAGTTTTTGCATGTAAGCTGGTATCTCCATAACTACTGAAGGGAATGGATTGAAACTTCCCACACTTGTTCTCTGTGATTATCTAAGATGATTGGCACAAGTCCCATAACTCTGTTTGCTTTTTTTACATAATTATGCCCCCTTTTTCGACTTAGAATTCTTGGTTAAGTTTTTGCATGTAAGCTGGTATCTCCATAAATACTGAAGGGAATGGATTGAAACTTCACACACTTGTTCTCTGTGATTATCTAAGATGATTGGCACAAGTCCCCATAACTCTGATTTGCTTTTTTTTTATAATTATGCCCCTTTTTCGACTTAGAAAATTCTTGTTAAGTTTTTTGCATGTAAAGCTTGTCTCTCCATAAGCTACTGAAGGGAATGTATTGAGACTTGAAGAGTTTGTACCTTTTCCGACAATTTTATGTATTCATATAGGTAAGCATTATTATACTCAATGAAACACCCTTGTGACAAATTTTCGAATAGTCGAGCGTTACTGTCCTCCGACAGTTCTTGTTATACTTGTAGGGCTATAAGGTGGCATATATTGTTTTCAAGAAAGTGTCTTCTGTGAAGGCAATAACTTCATTACCATATGATAAACCTTTGGTCATGCATAAAGAGGGTGGCCAAAGTATTGATACAGGACTAAATAGTAAGTTATTGGTTTCTTAACAATCTTTCTTATCATAAACTGTATGTAACAAAATATTTTTTTTTTGAGAATGAACGCAGGCAAACTCCTTATCTTGAATCATTCCCCATATTTTGCTTCTTATTTTGATTTTCAAAAGCATTGACCCCCAATGGATTTGACTAGAACCCATCCAATTTTTAAAATAGACTACTTATAAAACAAAATGTGGATATTGTCATAAAAATGCCTAGACAAGTAAGAACTTATTTATTTTAACATTACTTGTATTGTTTTGTAATTTTTCTGTGACTGATGATAATATGATTTTTATTTTCAAGTTCTGGCAGTCAGGTCATGGTCATGATAATTATGCTGGAGCTAAATATTTCAGTTACTGGTATTCTGGTCTGTTTAACTTATGTGCATTAGACATTTAAAATAACTTATGACATTGTCTTTAAAAGTGAATGTTTTCAGAAATAAGAAATTTGATTATTGTTTTCAGAATGGATCAGGGAATATAAAGAAGATGTGGTAGATACTGCTGCATTACAAACAGAAATAGATAAATATATGACAGAGTATGATGAAAAAATACAAACGGTATTAATTAAACTTATAATTATTAGGTATTATAAGAATGGTGAAAGATAGATTGGGCTTTTTTATATCCAATCATAGAAATATCATGAAGATCCATCATTTTTTTTTTATACGCCCGTTTGAAAAACGGGTCGTATTATGGGAACCCCTGGCGGGCGGGCGGGCGGGCCGGGCGGGCGGCGTCCAATTTTGTCCGGAGCATATCTCCTACATGTATGGAGGGACATTAATGAAACTTGATAGAAATGTTCACCACTATGAGGAGCAGTGTCGCGCACATGAACCAGGTCTCTAGGTCAAAGGTCAAGGTCACACTTAGAGCTCATTGAAAAATGCTTGTCCGGAGCAAAACTTCCACATGTATAGAGGGATTTTAATATTACTTGGCACAAATGTTCACCATTGTGAGGCAGAGTGTCGCGCGCAAGATTCAGGTCCTTGCGGCCAAGGTCAAGGTCACAGATAGAGGTCAAAGTTCAGATAAAAATATGAAGATGTGTTTATGGACCATTTAGTCATCATTTATTGAGGGATTGTAACACAAATGGTCATTATCAAGACTATGGCTGTGATACATATAACTTAGGTCAATATATACAAGGTCAAGGTCACTAAAGATGATGAAATATCCAGATTTTGTCCGGAGCATATCTCCTACACGCATGGAGGGATTTAATTGAAATTTCATAGAAATGTTCACCATTATGAGAAGCCATGTCACGCACATGAACTAGGTCTCTAGGTCAAAGGTCAAGGTCACACTTAGAGCTCATTGAAAAACGCTTGTCCGGAGCAAAACTTCCACATGCATAGAGGGATTTCAATATAACTTGGCACAAATGTTCACCATTGTGAGGCGGAGTGTCGTGCACAAAATTCAGGTCCCTGCAGCCAAGGTCAAGGTCACACATAGAGGTCAAAGTTTAGATAAAAATATGAAGATGTGTATAGGGACGATTTAATCATCATTTATTGAGGGATTGTAACACAAATGGTCATTATCATGACTACGGCTGTGACACATGTACTTTAGGTCAATATATGCAAGGTCAAGGTCACTAAAGATGGTGAAATATCCAGATTTTGTCTGGAGCATATCTCCTACATGTATGGAAGAATTTTTATAATACTTTATGGAAATGTTCACCACCATGATATGTATTGCTCCATGCATGATCCAGGTCTCCAGGTCAAAGGTCAAGGTCACACTTAAAGCTCATTGAAAAACGCTTGTCCGGAGCAAAACTTCAACATTCATAGCCGGATTTCAATATAACTTGGCACAAATGTTCACCATTGTGAGGCTGAGCGTCGCACGCAAAATTCAGATCCATGCGACCAAAGTCAAGGTTACACATAGAGGTCAAAGTTCAGATAAAAATTTGAAGATGTGTATAGGGACCATTTAGTCATCATTTATTGATGGATTGTAGCACAAATGGTAACTATCATGACTACAGGTGTGACACATTTAATTTAGGTTAATATTTGCAAGGTCAAGGTCACTGGAGATGATTAAATATCCAGATGTTGTCCGAAGCATATTTTCTACATGCATGGAGGAATTTTAATGTTACTTTATAGAATTGTTCACCACCATGAGACGTAGTGCCTTACACATGAACCAAGTCTCTAGGTCAAAGGTGAAGGTCACAGTTAGAGCTCATAGAAAAACGCTTGTCTGGAGCAAAACTTCTACATGCATAGAGGGATTTCAATATAATTTGGCACAAATGTTCATCATTGTGAGGCTGAGTGCCGTGCATTAAATTCAGGTCCCTGCGACCAAGGTCAAGGTCACACATCCTGTGCATATCTTCCCTACTGATTTGTTTTAAGGTTCATTTAACAACACAGTGCCAAGAATAAAAACTTGCTTGCTAGATAACACTTATCCATAATGCCCCCATCTCCATCTAAAGCTTTCGTAAACGGGCGTATTTTGTGACTATGGCACCCTTGTTTAAAAATAACATACTCTTGTAGTCTTGTAAATTGAACAGACTGGTTTTGGCTCTCATTTTGCAAACATGCAGTCTTTTAATCCTCTACTATGTGTACCATTGCACACTATAGTCTGGAATGTTTTTATTCAAATTTATTGTGAAGAAAAAGTGTGGTTATACACATGTATATTCTATTCTGTTTGCAGTAAGTGTGACAAGGAACAATATTGTTTTAAGATAGTTTTAGGAAATTATTTGTAAATGAGAGTACATTTTGAAATCAAGTTTGTATCATTGATTCCAAAAATTAATTGTATTGAAAAAGTGAATACTACTAAAGTCAGTGCTGGAGGGAATTTGAGAAGCTGTATCTTTCAGCTTCTCTCTAACTAGACAGGAAATTCCATAAAAATTCATGAAATAAAGCATTGCTGAAAAAAATGTCAAACTCCACATGCACTTCTTTATGTATTCCTACACATACACTATATTCACTTCTCTGTACATAAAAAGTATTGAAAATGTTTATTATGACAGAAATGTATTGATAGTTTAGTATTGTTTACAATTTTCATGCTTTTAAGGAGTCAAAATAATAAGGTTCCAGCATATTTTGTTGCTGTGTTGTATTTGTTTGCGTATGCACAGTAATACAGAAGGTATTTTTGCAGTATTAAATGTCAAATTTGAGAATAGAAGTGTGTTTGTATTGGTTATTTGTAGGAAATAGAAAAAGCAAAGGCTGCTGAAGGGGTTCCGGATGAGGAAGGATGGGTCACCGTGACAAAATATGGTAAAAATAAAGGGGCACCACGGACTGAGGCACATGAAAAGGCTTTGACACGGAAAGAGAAAAAGCGGAGAAAGGATAAGGTATTATTTTGTTACATTTCCAGATTGTTAAACTTCCAAGTAAGGCAAACCAAAGACTAAATGATTAATGTTACTACATGTAAATAGCTCAGTTGTTTTGAAATATTCAGTCTGATTTCAGTGTAAATTGACAGGATGGGGTATTTTGTTTGTGTCTGTTGATGATGTGTGGATGTTATTTAAGTGAAACAGCACTATTTAAGTAGGACACGTCTTTGATAAGATACTGACACTTCTTTAACTCAAAGTTCATTAAATGAGTGTAAATCCAACTAATACAGACATCATTTATAGACTAATTTCAAGAATTTCCTATTTAGTATAATAACATACTACATTGGTTTAAACTTATTTATTTAAGCTCGATTGTTAAACTAGTTCTTGCAACTTATAGTAATCACTTTCGAGTCTGCTTCCTGGAACCAACCAGTACTGGTGTCACATGAAGAAACATGGTCGTGATCCAATTTCTGCTCAAACCCATGATCCATGGGTTAAGAGGCAGACACCTTAACCACTAGGCCACCGCTCCCATATACTACATTGTTCAGGATGAAAGAAACTTAAAGCAAGATTTCTTTATTTCCCTAAAAAATGTTGTTATCAATTTGTAACAATTAATTTTCATTGTCATTTCAGGAATTGTTAAACTTCTACAGTTTTCAGATGAGAGAAACAAAGAGAGAACGTAAGCAATAGTTTATCAATATTTTACTGCAGTTGCATAATTGATTCTCAATCTGTTTGTCTGAACATTGAGCTAATGAAATATAAAGTTTCTACAGATGTTTGTGATTTGTTTCCAGTATAAATAAAACAGTTTATTTAATGTGATAAAAGTTTATATTTATTTGTCATATAGTCATATTATCTTTTTCAGAAATTGCAAACTTGCGTAAAAAGTTTGAAGAAGACAAGAACAGAATAGCTCTGATGAAAGCGTCACGAAAGTTTAGACCTTATTGAATTGATTTATTACTCTATTATATCTGCATATACCTGTTTGAAATCAAAACTTTAGTTCTTTTATTTTAGCTCATTTGCTCAGTACATTGTACATTAAACTAATATATGCAGATGTTCCTATAATTATTATAAAGTTATTCTTGTGTCTTACGCTGTTTATTTTGATTAAAGACAAGAAGACAGCTTAGTTATTGTTCGAAGAAAATGGATAAATGTGAATGCACAAAGCATAGGATTCATTGTTGTAAATCAGTTACAAAAGAAGTGCCCTAACTTTTGAACAAATTCTCATCAGTGAAATATAGTTGCAATGATTATATAAACCTTAGTTTGGGAGTGACATCTGTAGTAGTCGGAGTTAACATTTTAACATCGTTAAACCTCTGGTAGCAGTTATGTAAATCAACATTTTTAATACAGCCAAACTTTTTAATACTTGCCATGAAAAGAAAAAAGAAAAAGAAAAGAAAGAAAAAATAATGAAAATTTAAGTGGTCTCAAAAAGCCGATGTTTTATATTTTATTGCAAGTATTAGAAAACATTTAGTATTTATACAGACATGCTCAGATATATTAGCAGTTTCGGTACATTATATACAGTTTAAGAGTGAACTTATTCTTCCATGAGCATGATATAGATAAAAGTCATTTACATTTGTCGTATGTTAAAAAATCTAAATGGACACATACATCGCAAGGATTAAGATCAAAATATTAAAACTGAAACTAAATTTTTGTTGATAATGTTGCCGTATAAAAATTGCCAACAAAACAATGGTCCAGTAGTGATCATTGCGGAATTTTTCAAAAATGACGACATTTATGGCATAGCTAAAATTAGAAACAGACGTGAAAAATATGGCCTGTAATGACAAGTGGTCATTTAATAAAAAGACAAGATTCAAACATTAAAAGGTAAAGCATACATACTGTACATTAAATATAACTATAAGATAGCTGTGAAGAAACCTCAATTATTATGACATACTGTATAACCTGTCAATAACGACCAGTCTTTGTAAACATGGACTGTATTGTCAAGTGATTATGTAAGAACACACATTTTTCAAATATGAAAATGATAAAACAAACATAACGTAGGAATACATTTAAATGCTACGACTACGCTGTTTAAAGACTGCTTCATCAGTCATAACATACTGTATAACCTCTCAATAAAGGCCTATCTATTGAAAACTGGCCATAAAAGGAAAGAACAAAACATTCAGTAAAATAATAGTTAAAAGATATATAATTCACATTCAAATAGTTCAATGAAACTGTTTTAAGACGTCCCCCGTTAAGCAAGCTGTACTGTAAAAGCCTGCCAATAAAAACGATATTTTAGGAAATATAATTATGGATTCTATTGACAAATTGTCTTCCGAGGACTATAATTCGTTCTACTGTTCGAAATACTGGCATTTAGTTATTCATAATATTCTTCAATTCAAATATCTTTATTCACCCAGGTATTAATAAAATACATAAGGGGTTTACAAAATAATATTTTACAATATTTATGTTCCGGTTGTAAAGTAAGAGTTCACAATAAATGCAGACAAACTTAAGCAACAAAACGCAGTAACAAAGAATATGTTTTCAGTATAATTTTAAATTTGAATTAAGCAATCATTTTTGGTAATCGTTTTAATTCGACTAATTACTTTGCTGATTAACTAATTAGAAATACGCAATTAAAGCCTTTAATTATTATTAATAAAAATCCAATTATCAAACAATTAAATGATGATTGATTTTAAATGGCCATTAACTTTGTTTGATCTTCCTTTTATGTACATGTGATCAAAAGAAAAATATCTCTCTGCAATAAGCAGTGTTCAACTTATTAAAGTAAATTAACGAAACAAATGGATAAATGTGAATGCACAACGCATAAGATTCATTGTTGTAAATCAGTTACAAAAGAAGTGCCCTAACTTTTGAACAAATTCTCATCAGTGAAATATAGTTGCAATGATTATATAAACCTTAGTTTGGGAGTGACATCTGTAGTAGTCGGAGTTAACATTTTAACATCGTTAAACCTCTGGTAGCAGTTATGTAGATCAACATTTTTAATACAGCCAAACTTTTCAATACTTGCCATGAAAATAAAAAAGAAAAAGAAAAGAAGGAAAACATAATGAAAATTTAAGTGGTCTCAAAAAGCCGATGTTTTATATTTCATTGCAAGTATTAGAAAACATTTAGTATTTATACAGACATGCTCAGAGATATTAGCAGCTTCGGTACATTATATACAGTTTAAGAGTGAACTTATTCTTCCATGAGCATGATATAGATAAAAGTCAGTTACATTTGTCGTATGTTTAAAAATCTAAATGGACACATACATCGCAAGGATTAAGATCAAAATATTAAAACTGAAACTAAATTTTTGTTGATAATGTTGCCGTATAAAAATTGCCAACAAAACAATGGTCCAGTAGTGATCATTGCGGAATTTTTCAAAAATGACGACATTTATGGCATAGCTAAACAAATGATAATAGTTTTGACAATAATAGTTCAAAAATCAAAATTAGAAACAGACGTGAAAAATATGGCCTGTATTGACAACATTTAATAAAAAGACAAGATTCAAACATAAGAAGTTAAAGCATACATACTGTACATTAAATATAACTATAAGATAGCTGTGAAAAAACCTCAATTATTGTGACATACTGTATAATCTGTCAATAAAGGCCAGTCTTTGTAGACATGGACTGTATTGGCAAGTGATAATGTAAAGATAAAAACAAACATAATGTAAAAATATATTCAACTATTACAATTAGGCTGTTTAAGGACTACATACTGGATAACATAACGTAGGAATACATTTAAATGCTACGACTACGCTGTTTAAAGACTGCTTCATCAGGCATAACATACTGTATAACCTCTCAATAAAGGCCTATCTATTGAAAACTGGTCATACAAGGAAAGAACACAACACTCATTAAAATAATAGTTAAAAGATATATAATTCACATTCAAATAGTTCACTGAAACTGTTTAAAGACGTCCCCGTTAAGCAAGCTGTACTGTAAAAGCCTGTCAATAAAAACGATTTTTTAGGAAATATAATTATGGATTCTATTGACAAATTGTCTTCCGAGGACTATAATTCGTTCTACTGTTCGAAATACTGGCATTTAGTTATTCATAATATTCTTCAATTCAAATATCTTTATTCACCCAGGTATTAATAAAATACATAAGGGGTTTACAAAATAATATTTTACAATGTTTATATTCCGGTTATAAAGTAAGAGTTCACAATAAATGCAGATAAACTTAAGCAACAAAACGCAGTAACAACGAATATGTTTTCAGTATAATTTTAAATTTGAATTAAGCAATCATTTTTGGTAATCGTTTTAATTCGACTAATTACTTTGCTGATTAACTAATTAATTAGAAATACGCAATTAAAGCCTTTAATTATTATTAATAAAAATCCAATTATCAAACAATTAAATGATGATTGATTTTAAATGGCCATTAACTTTGTTTGATCTTCCTTTTATGTACATGTGATCAAAAGAAAAATATCTCTCTGCAATAAGCAGTGTTCAACTTATTAAAGTAAATTAACGAAACAATTAAAATGCAAACTGTAAAACAATGGACCATTGCAGTATAAATATCCAGACGGCACAAGACCCAAGCCATAAAACCTTTTACCTCATAAAATATACACTGAGCAAAATTATACCAAGCCAGGTCATTACCTTAATACACAAAATTCATAGTCTTATAATATATAATAGACTTCATCTGCCTACAAATAAATCAGCATGGACATTATATCAGCAGCGTGTTGTCTTCGCAACAAGTTGGTGGCTCTTCACAACAGTGATATGACTGTATCACAACTTGGTAAGAACAATACTCATTACATTTACATGAAGCTCTTATCATTATAAAGCGTTCTGAAGTTAAAAATTGTTAGAATTAATAATGAAAGAAACTACAAATATCCATTTTCATCTTGTACATTAAGCTAAATATTGCATATACTACATTACATATAAATGCAGAACAGCTCTCAAACTCTATTCTTATTCTTTTTTTCAGAGAATGCTATAGCCAATGTGGACCAGCAGAGTATGATGTCAGTCATAGAAGATAAACAGTCTCATCATCTTCGTCTACTTCTCCGTTTGTCTGTCAACGAAGGAGTGTGTCACATGTACAAGCAGTATTCCAGCAGAAAATGGACTGAGGTATGTTAAACAGATATAACGTTTAAAGTAGTCGAAAGAACTATACCTGTAGTTCTTACGTGTGTCGTTTTTCGTTAGCAGATTTCATATATGTTCATATTCAACTATTAATAAATTTCAGATCGAATAATCAGTACTAACTTTATTATATTTTGCCTTTTTAAAAATAACATTAGATAGTTATATATGTAAAACTGCATTACATAAAAGCCTCATCATTTCACCGTTCGAATAAATCATTTTATATTCAATTGTTAATCATTTCAGGTACAAAAGACAGCATCAGCGATCAAGTCCAGTTTAGAAGCAGACGATAATGTACAGATGAATATTAACACTTCATCATCAGCAACAAGTGGGCAAACGTTCCAAGATAGGGCTGCCGGAGTGTGGACCAGCGTGGTTTGTGAGTTGTCCAGATGTGATTGATAATACAGAATACAATGTGCCTTTTTAGTGCTGTTCATATATTATTTTGTTGTTGTGTAAACTTGTTGTTACTGCTGTGCTAAAATGTGTTATTTGATTACAATATTATGAATAAAATACAAAAAATAGATGGTGTTGGTCTTTATTAGAATTAAGAATGCTAAGCTGTGTAATAGAAATATCAAAAGTGTGTAACGATTTAGTTTGAAACAGATATGAAATTATGCGATAGCTTTGAAGAAACCTCTTATATTATGACATACTGTATAACCTGTCTTGGTAAACATGGACTGTATTGGCAAGTGATAATGTAAAGAGCACACATTTTTCAAATAAGAAAAAATGAAAACAAACATAATATATATTAAAGTATATTTAAATG